TTAAAAAAAAAGGTTCTGAGAAGTCTTAACTTGCACTCCTATAGACTTCAATGTGTTTGGTATTCTTCTATAATTATATTTTATCAATTTTCATAAACATTTACAGAGATTTTGGGTTTCCATTCATTCATTGTTGCACTCAATGTGTTTGGTATTCTTGAGAGACATTATGCATTTGAGTCATTTAAGAGTACATAAATTTACGAAATGACTATATAGGTTCAGATGATTGTGTCTCTCGATTTGTTACCTTGCAGGGTAAAACCCTCCAGTATGTAACAGAAGTACTGATGGAGAAGGAATGCATCATCAGGCAGGATAGAAGGTGATAGACTTTTACTAAAAAGGCACTGTTTATTTCTTTGATGATCTGATTATCTGGAATCAAAAGGGATAGGGCAAGGAAATTAAGATTGAGTTTTTTATGTAGCAATTTATGGAGTTGGTTATTTTGGAAACTGACACTTCTGTGGTCAGAATATTAAGAAAAGTAAGTTATAAAAAACTAAAAATTGACATGAATCTGACATTTAACTTGAATGCAATAAAACTGAAAGTACCAGGAGTCTTCAGGACACTAGGGGACAAAAAATATTAATGAAAATTACATTTGCTAGCTGAAGAGTCTCTCTTTTTTGCCTGCAATCCTCTGCTCATACAACTTTTTCTAAAAAACAAAACCAAAGAAGTAAGTTCTCTAATTTGAAGTAAAATCAATTTCTTACCTCATCCAAAACTTCTAGGGTGGCTAAATCATCTACATCCTTCATAATGGAAATTACAGATCTGTTGAAATTACCTTTCTTGGTGTGAATACGTTCATGTCTGTGGACCAAAAACAAAAAGGAAAATGCTTCTTTGATTTAAGAAGTTATAAATGATCAAAATGATCATAATGTAAGTAACAGGTGGGTGTGCACCAGAGTGAAGCCAACTTACTAAATTCAGTTATAAAATGTAAAAGACATTATCCCAATATATTTAAACTCTGCTGCATTTTCTCCTTTCCACTGAGAAAAATACAGTATATCAAATTTACTTCCTGGATACAGACAAGAAGCGATTATCTCTACCAAGAATTCTCCAAGTTCCATATATAAAATTTTGTTTTAAGCTTCTTCTAAAAATCCAATGTGCAATTTAGTCTGTTACAAAATGGTAAGTTTTAAAGATTGGATTTAATTCTATTTTCCAATGTCTTGTGGGATGTCAGCCCACTGATGGTCAAAGGATAGTGATTTTTTTAAAGTATTACTCAGCAAAATTTAACAAGGATACAAAAGAAAGCACTATGTGAATTTTTTGAAGGTTAAATATACGCGTTAAATTGATTTCAGGTGACAGAGAGCTTATTTTCAGAGTAAATATTTCAGCAACTTTCAGTAACAGCACAAGGTTCTTGATTTAAAATGAAGGTTGGAGAAATTGCTGAGATGTACACAATGACTAGTTTATACTTTTTGGGATATGAAATTATCATCTACTTTATTTTGAGGAGAACAGTGTCTTTAAGGTTTATTTTGGGATGCACTTTTAAGCATTTTAATTTGTTCATTGAAAAGAGAAGGAATAAATTGACTATGAAGGTCAAGAAAATCACACAATTCCATTGTTCTTGCTGTTGATTGCCATTGAATACAACTCATAGTGACCCTATGGACAAAAGGCCTGAAGCCTTTCTTCAACTATCGACATTTATCAAAGTTCATCGAGTTTCCAGAGCCATATTGTTTAGGAAGTGGATGCCACTCCTGCTTATAATTCCCTTAGGGAAATATAACAAATTTTCATTCATTTTTTTTAGAGTATTAAGTAATTCATGACAAAATATCTCTATCTAACATTCAATGATGATGAAGGAAGAAATTCAAGTGGTATGGAAGGCAGTAGCAAAAAAAATGAGGCACTCAAAATTGATGGGATACCAATAAAAAGATGCAGCCCAACAACAACAACCAAAAAAAAAAAATGCAGCTCTGGATGTGCTTACCAGGCAGTGTCAAGAAATCTGGAAGATAGCTTCTTGGCTAACTGACTGCAAGAAATCCATATTTGTTCCCATTCTGCCCGCCCTCCCCCCCCAAAAAAAACCCCGAACAGTGATTGAATAGAATCTGGAAATTACTGAACCATATCATTAATATTGTAAGCATGCAGAATCTTGCTGAAGATTACTGAAAAAACAGCTAGATCCATTTATCAACAGTGAACTGTCATAATTTCATACTGGATTTAGAAAAAGCCATGGCACTAGGAATGTCATTGCTGATATCAAATGGATTTTGTTAGAAATCAGAGAATACAAAGAAGCATGTATATCTCTGTTTTACTGAGTTATGGAAAAGCATACAACTTCATGGAACACAACAAATTATGACTAACATTGAAAAGAATACGAATCACAGAACACTTAATTGTGTTCATGTGAAACCTAAAGGCTTTGGCTTTTGCGCAAACAGAGCAAGGAAACACTGCATGATTTAAAAGAAAGATATGCATCAGGGCCGTGTCCTTCATTCATACTTATTCATTATGTATGATGAACAAATCATACAAGAAGCTAGACTTTATGAAGAAGAATGTGGCATCAGGATTGGAAGAGGACTTATTAACAACCTGCATTATGCATATGATATAATCTTGCTTGCTGAAAACAGTCAGGAAATCAAAAGATGTGTTGCACTGGGAAATTTGCTTGTCAGGAGCAAAAAGAAAAAAAAAAAAGAAAACACAACTCTTCCCCTCGCACCCTGAAAAAGTCCCCCAAACCCATAAAGAAACCAAGTACTGGAGAGGAAGGATGTCAGTTTAAGGACTAAGGTGTGCCTGATCCAAATAATGATTTTTTTACTACTGATTTGCATAGAAAACTAATATACATTGTGTTTAAATCATGTACATTGCGTTCCACACATTTCTTTTATTCATCTTGTGTTTCATATGATCACTCATATACATTGTGTTTTATAAAATTAATCACCATTGATCTATCCCTATTATTAACCCTCTTTCAGGTCCCCTTTGACTCTTTCCTAAATCCTTCAGCCTCACCCTCTGCTCACCAAATTCTAGCATCCTAGTGGTTTTTGCCTATCCCCTTTCCCCGTTCCTTTCCCCTTTTGGACATTTATAAGTGTCTTAATAGTTTTCCTTCTATTTTTACAATAATGTTCTTATGTAGTATTTGTATTTGTGAGACTGAATTAGTTCACTAAGAATAATGTTCTCTAGATCTCCAATGTTATATAGTCTTTTATTAAACCATTGCTCATTAGTGCTGCATAGTATTCCATTGTATGGACCACAATTTCTCAGTCCATGTGTTTGTTGATGGACATTTGGGCTGTTGTAATTTTTTTGCCATTGTGAATAATGCTGCTATGATCAAAGATGTGCAATGAGGGAGTTTTTCTTTTGCTTTTCAAGGAGAGGAGCAAAGGGGGGGAGGGGGAAGGGGTTTGTGCGGGGAGAAGGGTGCAACAATGAATGAATGGAATTCCAAAATCTCTGTAGATGTTCATTGAAATGAAAAATAAACAAACTAAATTAATTTAAAAAAAAGATGTGCTAATCTCTAATTGCATCACAGTTCTATTTTCCTTGGGGTATATTCTTGGCTGTGGAATAGTTGGGTCATGTGGGATTTTAACGTTCGGACTTTTGAAGAAACACTAAACTGTATTCCAGAGTGGTTGTACCATTTTACAATCCCTCCAGCAGTGTATGAAAGCGCCAATCTTTCCACATTCTCTCAAACACTTATTGCTTGCTGTCCTATTAAACTTTGCCACTGCTATTGGGGTGAGATGATATCTCATTGTATTTTTTTAATTTTTATATTTTTTTATTATATAAAGACAGAGGAGGAAGAAAAGACCAAGATGGATGTCAGATGAGATGCTGAATATTGCACTAGAGCACTGAGAAGCCAAAACCAAAGGAAGAAATAAGGAAATTAAGGACCTGAACAGAAGATTTCAAAGGGCAGTGTGGAAAGACAAAGTTTAGTATATAATAAAATTTGCATAGAGCTAGAATCAGAAAATCTGAAGGGCCAAACTTGCTCTGCATTTCTTTTTTTGCTTGTTTTATTGATTATGTTTATTGTTTTTATTATGGTGAACCATTCTTTTTTGTCCATATTTTTTTGTAATTTTTTAAATTTTAATAATTTTAATGAACATTTACAGGCATTTTGGATTTCCATTCATTCATTGCTATAGTTCTCTCCCACCCAGCCCCTCCCCAGTCCCATTTCCATGTTTTTTTACAGCATATTCTTCCCATTTAATATTTCCCTCATTCATTCAGTCATTCATTCATTGTTGCCCATTTCCCTTCCTGCCCATCCTCCCTCCCCCCAATTTGCTTTTCTCTTTGAAAAGAAAAAAAAATCTTTCGTTGTTACACATTCTTCCCTCCCCCAATTCCACAGTCCAATTTACTATGCATTCCTATTTCTGGAATCTTGTCATGAAAATAATACCTAATCATATATTTCTTTTAAACAGTTCTTTCCCTTATCTGTTTCAATACAGTATACATTATTTATCCCCTCTTTTCTTTGGCTCCCCCCAACCCTGATGTCAGTCCCGTTTTACAACAGTGGCACTATTCACTATTTGTCCTTTTGTGACTGAGATATTTCACACAGCATAATGTTCTCCAGGGTCACCCATTTTAGACAATATTTCATGAGCTCCTTGTTTTTCAATGCAGCATAGTATTCCATTGTGTGAATATACCACAACTTCTCTAGCCATTCATTTATTGATGGGCACTTGGGTTGTTTCCAATTCTTTGTTATTGTGAACAAAGATGTGATTAACGGGTGTGCATATATCTGCTTAAGTGGCAGTTCTGATTTCTTTGGGGTGTATTCCCAGTAGTGGAATTGCAGGGTGAGCTCAGCATTTCTTAAGCTGAAGGAACTGAAGAATAAATTCAAGCTTCGAATTGCAATACTTACGGATGCTTTGGACAGAATATTAAATGATTCAGGAAACATTAAAAGAAGATGGAAAGAGTATACAGTGTCACTGTACCAAAAGGAATTGGCTGATACAGAAGAATTTAATGAAAAAAATGTATGAGCAAGAGCCTGTGATGATGAAGGAAGAAGCTCAAATTCAAACTGCTCTGAAAGAATTGGCAAAAAAACAAGGCCCCAGGTATTGTTGGCATACCAACTAAGATATTTCAACAAACAGATGCTGCCCTGGATGCACTCACTAAATTGTGCCAAGAAATTTAGAGGACAAGCACCTGGTCAACTGACTGTAAAAGATCCATATTTGTTCCCATTCCAAAGAAAGGTGACCTGAAGGACTGTGGAAATTATTGAACACTATCATTAAAATCACAAGCAAGTAAGATTCTACTGACAATTATCCAAGAATGACTGGAACAGCACATCAACAGAGAACTGCAAGATGTGCAGGCTGGGTGGAAAAGAGACTGTGGTACTAGATATATTAATATAATAGCTAATGTTAGATGGATCTTGGTTGAAAGCAGAGGACACAAGAGGAATGTCTATCTCTGTTTCATTGACTATGCAAAGGCATTTGACTGTGTGGATCACAACAAAATGTGGCTAACTCTGAGAAGAATGGGAATCCCAGAACACTTGATTGTGTTTATGTGAAACCTATACTAAGAACAGGAGGCAGCTGTCAGAATAGAGCAAGGAAATACTGCATGATTAGGAAATGAGTACACCAGGGATGTGTCCTATCTCCATACCTTTTTAATCTCCATGTAAAGCATATCATCTGGGAGGCTGGGCTTTGTGAGGAGGAATGTGACTTTAGGACTGGAGGAAA